ACGAAGCTGGCGCGATCTCTGTAGGTGCAGATCAGCAAGTTACTCGCTACGCGGTTCCTTCTAGTGACCCTAATCCCGGGGCTTGCCTTTGAGCCCCACAACCAATGGCCATCATGAGCGTTTTTCTTTAATTACGCTCGTTATTTCTGCCGTTTAGCTGTTGTTTAGAAGCACCGACAGATAATGAAATTCGTTTGCAGGCATGTGTTGGGAAATGTTCTTGGTGCGCTTGGTAATCAAGAATCGCTGAAAATTGCTCGTGAAGTGCTACTGGTCCAGGGACCCGAATTCCTGGACGATTATCTGCTTGGAGCCGCCCACACTACAAGCAATGATGAGAAATGGCATAAGCATTTGATGGTACGTAAGACGACTGCTTAAGGGCATTTGATATCATAAATGATGGACTTTAGTACTGGATGATCGACGGGAAGGAACAGCAGGAGCTGTACTGGAAGTTAGCCAACACGTTGGCCACAGTCCTAAGAAAGCGATGCGATAGGACACCAAGCACGCGTAATTCGTGCCAGCAAGGAAAAGAACGGGTTTGCGAATAGTAACTACTTGCTCTCAGTGAAAATCAATATATTTTCCATATTTTCAATTTTTCCTATCTTTTGTTCCTATTTCACATCTAGCTATTCAGATAGTTGCGAGATTTATCGCTGATGTCAGCGCATGCAAAACAGAGGATTGCCATGTGAAATCACTGGAGGTTCTTCAGAACATCCCAATATCGGCGTAAGCTTACTTCCTGTTGTTGACGAGGCCATTTGTTGAATGACAGCTTCACTGTTCCTCGTTGCAGATCGTTCGAACTTGCCCGAGGATTCCTTTGTACTTCCAATCACAGCGTGCCCGTTCAAACTGCCGCTTTACAAGTGATCAGAGCCGCCAGTCCAACACTTTATGACTCTAAGGTGGAAGTTTTTCACATAATTCTGAAAAATTATGTGTAAATATCACACGATAAGGGCAAAGCAAGAATCTGTTCGTGAGAGTCAAAGCAACAACTCTTACTCTTTTGTAGTTATGATTGGTGTGTTGTAGAGCAGTCTCTTGAAATTACCTGGACCCTCAAAGGCGAGTATGTGGGTACCGCGATGAATATCCCTGAAAGGCTCTGATCAAAAATGCAAAAATTTAAGGTTGATCAAAATGCAAAATAACAGGTACCAGGATGAGGCGAATAGGAAGAGATCAGAAGAACCGAAAGCCCGGGAAAAAGGGAAATGGGACCATCATTGTAATCGTTTACTTCGTTATTTGAGGTAGATACTGCCTGTATACATCCATAAGGCCATGGGTTAGTGTCCCTGGCTTTGCCTATCCGATAGGATGTGGCATACAGTGGAATCGGGAATACGGCCGTTCCATCTACCATCAGTACTGTCTGTGTCTAGAAGTGCTCCCTGGAATTGTGGCCGAGGCAACCATCGCTCTTTGAAGGGTCTAGTTCTGCCTTGGCCAAGCACTAAATATTCCTCTGGAAAGTGATTGGTACTAGGTCAGATTGGAGGAGAGTGTAAATTAACAATGTCTCTCAAATGAATGTCGGGATCACCCTCCTTACGATAGAAGCGTCGGGTAGGGTTGTGAACGTGGGAATATGAGTCAAATATTTGGACACCTTCTTATTCTCTCCTCTGGTTCTCCTTACCTCAACACAAACGAGCGGCTTCTTTTTCACTTCGAACGAATTTGGGGTTGGCTTTAACCCAGGAGGGGTGGGGGATGAATATGCCTAAAAAACGAATTTTGTAATTCCGTCTATGTCACGCTTCGTTCCGAATCCTAACCGAATTTTCACCGAATTCGCCATAAATGAATCAAAAATTAATCCCCCTCCTTTCCCACATTGCGACCCCTTCTATTTCCATAACCCCCTTGGAACTTCCAAGAAGGCCTACTTCAAACATGTGTTAACCCAATCTAAAAAATCGCAAACACGACCATATCCCTTCTGGCTCGATCGGACGGAAGGTTGACCCTGAATCCAGATCACCCGAGCCTCACAACCCTCTACCTTCCTGAATGGTTGTCCTGTGAACAGGGAACTCGCCCTGTAACCATACACAACAATAAATAAACCAGTCAATACATCTTCCAGTTGGCCAACACCCTCATCAGACTATTCCGCAACGTTTGTCCCCAACCAACAACAACTGGCGAGTCGCAACTAGCCATCGACATTCTTGTCAGGTAAGCACTGAGTGGAATCTTTTGCTACGTGAAAATTTTTCGAAAACGACTGAACTCGGAGAAAAGAAATAATAATCAATTTATAATTTGAGATGTATTCCTGAACAGCAACATGTTGCAACGATGCTTCTTCGTACGGAAACACTGAATCCAGATGATCCTGAAAAATGGCAGTATTTTTATAAAGCTGTCCAAAGTAGTGGACAGAGGGATGAGTTGGTATGTTCTGAGGATATTCTATTCATTTCTTGAAGAAGTTTTTGAGTTGTGGTCGATCTTGAGATATTTAGTGAGAGTGCTGCCGCGGAGCCCAAGGTAGCGTTGAACTTGTTTTTAAGCGACAGTCATAGATGAAATTGGTGTGGTGACAGCGGTCGATAATGAAATGGTGGATGCCGAAGCGACTGAAGTATTCCCCCTCATCTGTCGTGAAATGAGGGAGGGGCGGAGCCGGACGAGTTTTTGAGCTCTTTTGTTCCATGGTTCCACTAAACCGCGCGGATTTGAATCGGTCACTACGCCGTAATCCACGTTGCGTGTCATGGGATGTGCGCGAACTTCTCGTCCGTAGGTTCACGATAGCCGCCACTGGACCACTTCTAAGGTATTAACGCGTACTTTCTAGCGGCGACAACAGCTTATCTGTGATATTCTTGGGCTTCTCTATTCTAAAAGAGTATGGAGTCTTCAGTCCCAAAGCTATCTCATCTGGGGTTGTTGCTCTATAGAGGCAGGACGACTTTGTATTTGGCACCATCCCAATCCCTTTTGGGAAGGGTGTGGGTCTCCGCACAATCCCCTTCTCTCCGTATGTACTATGGTCAATGCTGTGTTGTTGAATCCCGAGCCAATTGACAAACCAAAAGTCTTGAAACCAGAAAGTCCGAGATAGGCTAATCGAAGAAAATATCGTTCCGTAGAGCGTTATAATCAGTTGATTGCTAATTTCGGCACTGTACGCCATTCGAAAAATGATATCCCCTATACACTAGCCTCTCGTATGTTAAATCCCTACGGTAGCTTAAGGCGACGACCTGCGTGAGGAATCATAATTGGAATTAATCTTATCAGAACAATTGCGTTACAAAAAAATGTTTTGCGGTCAGCGGCAGCACTATACACCTACTGGGAACTTTTCCTTCTATGGTGATATTGCATAGACCGCGGCAATTTCCACAAGTTTATGTCATTTTGTGCAAGTAGGAAACGACGTTTTCAATTGTGCGTTGTTTCAGAAGGAGGAAGTCTGGCGCCAAATGCGAAAATTCAAAGTTTTCCGACCAAATTATGCACAACGTGCTTTGATTGCCGATTCACATGCACGTTGGCAGGAAATCGCTGGTGAGTTAATTGATTTCACTAAATACACAACAGTTGATCCTTTAGTAATTAGCACAAATGTTAGAGCCTAAAGGCGGAAGTGGGAAGTGGCACAGTCCAAGGATCAAATCCTGGCTCATACGCCATTCAAACGGGGAATGCCTTCTATCTCTTCGGGACCTCTTAATTGATTGCTTGTGTTCGGAAAACAACATGACCTGATATACTAGGTAGATGCCCTCCAATGCTGACACTAGGCCGAAATGCGCAGTTCAAAATGCCATTTAATGATCCAGATGGGAGTACAGATGACGCCGCAATCCCAGAAGGAATTTATTTCGAACTGAAGCTGCATCATTCACCTGCTTTCTTGGAAGTTGATGATTCTTTTAGATTTTTTTTCTTCACTATTAATTTCTGTAGCATGCAATGCTGTACTACTTTTTATTGACTCTTGGCTTGCCTATATTTCCGTCACGATAAGCTGCTGGAATTTATTTCTGTAGCTTTCAGAGAGACGATCCATGATTGCACCTCGAGCCGTGCTATGTTATGCAGCGGCACCTAGCAATGCACCGTTCTTTCTTTCAGTCACCTTTCGATTGATTAATTACTACCACATACTTCTTGGAGGGATGGACGTTGTCCCAAATATAGCTGAAGATCACTGCCCATTTCAAGTATAAATGAAGCGCACCCACAAAAGCTCACACACTTTTCATTTGGAACCGGTATGAATGACGCCTTTGAAGGAATTCGCCAAATTGGACTCTCAATCGCTCTAGCCTTCACTATGTCTTGAGTTCAATGATTCATTTTTTCGAAAATCTGACAGCACATGAACTCGTTCTTAGTTGTAGAACCTACTGTTACTTCCTTGTAGAAGAAAGTCCGACAGTGAGAGTTGTAAATAAAGGAAGAAGTTATCACGGATGCTTACAGATGTTGATGGATACAGATTGCACTCAACATCGGAGGTTGAGTTCGATTACGGAGTTTTCAAGCGATCAAATTTTGAGATTGGTTTGAAGCACGGTAAAGTCGACGAAATCTCTTAAGGTAAGGCTCAGGTAGGCTGCTAGAGTGATCAAGACGCAGGTAAACTCGTTGTGCGACGCTGATCAGCAAAAAATCCTAACAACAAGCCGGCTTGGCAGTGTTAATTCAAAATGCGATTGTGCATCGAAAACCTTGGAAAGCAGTAATTTCAGCTCACGACAATGACAGTTGGATTGGACTCGTTCGTCAGCGATCGTGCAACTCCAGCAGATCCCGAAGCAAAAGTGCGCATATCGTTTCTGGGTCATGCACTTCCTCCAGTTACCCTCACTCTTTCCAACGCGCACCGGCAGGTCCGCGGAATTGATTCTTTACCGTAGCACTCCAGTTCTCATAAACTTTTTACCGAGTTTGATAAGGAGAGTTTTGCGCCAGGACTTACCGGCTGCTGGTTGTGCCTCTAAAGATGGATGTATGATGGGTGCTCATGTTAAGTTGAGAGATGGATCCGCGTCCAATGTCGGATGTCGAGGGAAGGGATCCGCCCGCTACCATTAGTATAGAAGACAGCGATCGTCTGAGGGGGTGGCCCGGACACGCAATTCGCAGGACAGATATGCTCCGACGCTTGCGTATGGCCGCCTCGGACGCATTCGCGGCTGGTAATCGCACGAACACGCACAGGCTGGCTTGAGCACGCTACAGTTCCTCCAACCACTATCGAGAGAAGCGGTTAAGTTTGCGAAGAGCGCCGCACCGGATGAATGCGTCCATCAATGCGAAATCAAGGCGCCAAGGAACAGTTGCTTCTCCTTCGTAGTTCGAGCCACTTTCTTCATGGATTTTGCTTTATCGCCTCACTGACCACCCCATGCTTATGATTTTAACGCAGCTGCACTTTCTAATAATAAACCCTCTTCAAAACCAAAATCAAACCGAATTTTAACGCTTTGAACAGATTTTTTGTTACCCGCGAGTTTTTGGTTCGCAGTTTCGCCTCTGGCGAATGTTTTCACAGAATGCTGGTGTGGAATAACTTCGCCTCAGACGTCAAATATTCTAGTTGAAAGCAAACCGCGATTCGCGCAGTTCCGTGCCTTAAGAACGCCACAAACCTTCTAACAATAAGCATACGAGCTTTAACACGCAGTTCAGATTGTTCCAGTGACGTAATCGCGGTGTATGCCTAATTGCAAGCCAGTGCGCATGGGTTACAGACAGTTCATCTTCGGTCAGATCCTACAAGAAATCCGTCTAATGATGGACTACCCCCGAGGAGAGTTTGACACTGGTAGGACCTTTGCTTCGCACAGTGTTGAAAGACGAATTCTCTTTTACAGCGCAAGTCTGTTACGATGTTGCACACGTCCAATAGCCGGTTACAAGGCTTCTGTCAACCAAAGGGTGAGAGCGTAGCTGGAAAAGCACACACTTTGTGTCTTATTGGGACTAAGCCCTTTTGAAGAAGATAAAGAAAGAGGAGATGCTGTGATAGTGTGCACTTTGTGAGAGCTCCCAGACATCACTACAAAACGCTGAACCACCCGAGCCTCACGGTTGGGCAGATGTCCTGAGACCCCAACAGCCAGCTAGTAGCAGGTTATCCAGAATTGGGAACACAGTAGCTCTGACTATAGCTCGATTTCGCGACTGCACCGTAATAACTTCGTATCCGAAAACATTTCTGTCTATTCAAAAAGCCGTGAGACGGGATTATCATAGCTGGAGCATCATGGTCTGAAAGGAGTTAATACGAAACAAATTGGTGTTCAACAAAAAACTCAGAAAGCCTTCTGCTGTTTGAAATCCATTGAGTAATGATCAAGAAATTGAAAACCTAGCTGTCTATTGCTATTATTTTCTCAAGGAGAACATCGCATCAGCTTTTTTTTCGCCTATTTGATTTGACTTTTGTATATGATTTTTTCTTCACGATGCTTTAGTGCCTGCACCGACCGCTTTCGTAAATGGAATATTTTTAGGGCACAACTGAGCTCATGGCTGCGGTATGGAACGCTGATGGACAGACAGTCAAGGCTCTTGAGGTTTGTATTCCTATGCTGTGTACGTTTGAAACATTATTACTGTAGAGGACGAGCGATGTACGGAGGTGCATGTTACAGCCATGCGATTGCTATAGAAATGTTCCCACTTTGAGTTCGCGTCATATTTTATTTATTATTTATTTATTTTACTTTATTTATTTACTTATTCATTTGTGCGTTCAATGAAGCCCCAGATTGAAGCGTGAGGCTGTGCGCGAAATCATTATGCAGACTCAAGAAAAAATATAATGGAATGATCGGAGAATTGCTAAAATAACCTGCCATAGAACCCGTGATTAGTTAAGATATAAGAGAATTCAGTGAATACTAACAAAAGCACAAACCAGAGAGTCGTTCAGGCAAGCAGCTTCCTCCAGAATATGAATAAAAGAGTAGGAATGATACTGTAAAAACTGAAACTCGACCCTGACGATGAAGTCTCGAGAGGCTATGAGGGCTATAGATATAGGGCCCACTTTACTCTCGAACCCAAAAAAAGCAAGTGTTCAATCTCAAGGAACAAACAGAGGTCTCTCGTTAACTGTTCAATATATAGTGAGTGTCCATATTAGTTCAAGACAAGGATTTTGTGCTGGCGCTATTGCGTTGGTTTTGCGCCGGCGCCCAGGTAAGCTCACCTGCAACGCGTTAATGTAATATGGATGTTCTACGGCCCAAACTACCCCTGACGACAAGTGTTCAACGAAATTGCTGATTATGTTTTGTTACCTTTCGGCGCAGGCGCTTGTGGCGCAGGCGCCGGGCGTTTTCACGCCAAACGAATGTGATATGCGTATCTATAGGTCAGGCTGCCCCGGGAGATTTTTAACCAAATGTTTAGTCGTGGGGAATTTCGATAATTGCCTTGCTCAGTTTCGGAGCTGAGGGGCAGTAAAGAGTGAATAGCGTCGAAATTCCGAATTTCCTTCGATTAATACGTCTTGTAAAAGCTTTCGGGTGCAGGTAGTACAGTGGCAAGTGACGTTACTTCCAGTGTGCAAGGTCTGGGGATCCAATAAGGCTCATACTCTGTCCAAGCCAATAAAGCCTTGCATCCTTCCGAGATCGCTTAATTGATACCAAGCTCGCCTGGGAAACAAACACGGACTTGTACATACATCGGCTGGCTACTGGAAACACTGCTCAGCCCATCAATGCCACTACGATTTCGATGGGGAGTAGAATGCGGGGAGTATTCCATAAGAGGCTGATCAGCGCAGAAGATTCATGTTTTTGATACGTTTTCTTGGTGGGGAGCCTCAGCGTTTGATCACTATGCCCCAAATACAGATTTGCACAGAAAATGTGAGATCCACTGCGTGGACCTTTAAAAAAGCTTACCGCTCTCAATGCAACCATTTGACTCCCGATGGCAAGGAATACTCGAATTTGGAATTCGAAACAGTTGGAAAGGCTCCACAGCTTTAATTCAGATCTCTCAAAGGTTCACTAAAAATGGAGGTGACTTGTTACCTATCTCTCACAGTTCTTCTATGAATGGAGTGAATGAGGCACAAGTGGAAACACACCTCTCGCTAAACCATATGTATACACAAGGCCAAATTTTGATATGAGCTCATCGTGGGTGACTGCCATAGTCGAACTCAAGGGTGTGAATTGCTTGACACGAAGCAATGCAGTCCTGAGGACTTCTTGAAACCGATGACTTTCTCGCTTGGGCTCTATTGCAGACTGGAGATTCCTGCTCCTAGATGTCCGATCCCTTTTAGGGATTTCTGCTACAACTACCAATTTTCTATTTACTTACTTCATTGACTAGAACAAAAAGTTGTCTACTGTCCTCTACAGTGAGGATTCTCTTCGCGTTACGTGAAGACGAGGTGACAGCTTCTTTTTCAGGGCAATGTGATGCTGCGGGACACCACCATTACGCTACCGTTGCTTTCCGGACTCACTGTTGAGGTCTCGTCAAGTGGAGCTCTCTCGTTCAAAGTGCTAACCTCTGCAGCCGTTTCAATTTTCAATCAACAGTCTTTAGCGGAGCTAAATACTAAGTGAGTCGTCAATGTGCTTGAAAGATCGCTCGCTGCCATAAAACT